TACTACGCTGCGGTAAAAAAGAAGGAATTCTTACCATTTGCAACATGTATGGAACTGGAGAGCATTATGCTAAGCGAAATAAGCCAATCAGAGAAAGATAAAGTTCACTCATTTATGGAATATAATGAACAACATAAACTGATGAACAAAAACAGATCCAGAGACAGAGAAGCATCGATCAGACCATGAAACCTCAGAGAGAAGGTAGGGGAGGGTGGGGGTAAGGGAGAGAGATCAACCAAAATACTTGTATGCATGCATATAAGCCTAACCAATGGACACAGACAACAGGGGGGTGAGGGCATGAGTGGGGTGTGGGAAGGGGGAATGGAGGAATAAGGACACATATGTAATACCTTAATCAATTAAAAAAAAAAGCTGTGGTATATTAACACAATGGAATACTATGCAGTTGTAAAAAGAAGGATCTCTTACCCTTTGAGACAGCATGGAGGGACCTGGAGAGTATTATGTTAAATGAAATAAGACAGTCAAAGAAAGGCAATTATCACATGATCCCACTTATATGTAGAATCTAATGCACAAAATAAGCTGACAAATAAAATAGGTATACAGACATGGAAGCATGCAACAGACTGACCTATTTCAGAGGGAAAAGGGAGCAGGGGCAGTAAGAGATTAATCAAAGAACTTATACGCATATATGCATAACCCATGGATAGACAATAGTGAGGTGAAGTCCTGATGAGGGAGTGGGAGCAGGGTGGAGGGGGTTAAGGAGGGAATGGGGGGAGGAAACATCTGTAGTAATTTCTACAATAAAGATAAATTTAAAAAGTAAATAAATGATAAATTACCTTCTCTTACTACCTCTACTTCTTAACCTTCCTCAGCTATTCCTTAAATCCACCGTAAATTTTCCACTCTTTTGAAACTATAAGGTCACCAAATATTTGGAGCAAATGTAACAATGTTAATCTTTGTCAACTCTGCATGTATATGTGTTTGTGATAACATCCTTTGTACATATTTTCCACAAAAGGAAAGGCTATTTTTTTCTTTATTACTAACTAGAAGCCCGGTGCACGAATTCGTTCACCAGTGGGGTCCCTCGGCCTGGCCGGTGGGATCGGGCCAAAACCAGCTCTCTGACATCCCCACGAAGGGTCCCGAATTGCGAGGGGGCGCAGGCCAGGCCGAGGGACTCCACCGGTGCAGTTGAGCAGACTTAACGTATCATTAGCATATTACACTTTGATTGGTGAACGGCCGACCAGACGACCAGACACTTAGCATATTAGGCTTTTATTATGTAGGATAGAGTATAGATGTTTTAAATTGTAACTTAAGTTATAAAATAGTAGTACTGTATATTCTTTATGGTGTGTGAATTATATCTCAATAAAGCTATTTAAAACACATACAACTCACCCTGGCCAGGTGGCTCAGTTGGTTAGAGCGTTGTCCCTTACAACAAAAGGTTACAGGTTCGATTCCTGGTCAGGGCACATACCTAGGTTGCGGGTTTGATGCCTGGCCAGGGTGAGTATGGTACGCAACTGCGCCATCTATATAGTAACCACATGTGGCTTTTGAACACTTGAAATGTGGCTGGTGCAACTAAAGGACTGAGTTTTAAAACTATACATATTTTTAAAACTGTATTTCATTTTAATTAATTTAAATTTAAATAGCCACATGAGTTACTTATAGATTCTATTTCTGTACTTCTCCCTTGCAAACTAATTCAGAAATATAGAATATTACCAGTGATTTACATCTACTTATGTGCTTCTTCCTTAATCTCCCTTACTTAGATAATCCTAAATTTTATTGTTAATGACTTAATAACCAAATGCAATATATAATTTCAATAGCCTAATCTCTATACTTCTTATCCTACTCCTTCAAAAATTCATTCTGAACAATTACTGCTAAGCAACTTGGACTTCTCTGCTATATTCTTTTCTTGAAATTTTATTCCCTTGATATTACTACTCTTCTAGTGTTCTATTTAGTCTAACCCCTAAGCTCTTTTTTCCTTTGCCTATCCATTAGTTATTCCTATTTTGCCCTAGTCTCTTCCTCTACTTCTTTCTCTCACTATACATATGTATATCTCCTCTCTCTAGATGATTTCATTTACTTTCATTATTTCAGCTATGACTAATAGAGAAATTTGGGGATCATCATCCTCTATCTCTACCTCAGACCTATTTTTTGATGTTCAGTAATATAACCAACAATTGAATTTCTTCCTGGAGGTTTCTACAATGCCCTCAAATTCATCATCTCAAAAAAACTAAAACTACTCTTCTTTCTCATTCCCTCCTTCAATTGACAGCACCATCATCTAGCCTCACCCTCTTACCCTTCTTCATTTTCCTCCAAATTGAATTAATCACTAAACCCTGCATACTTTATCTCCTAAGTATGTAAAGATGCCATTCCTCTAATACGTCTCATATTCAGACCCTAACTAAACTCCACACCTCTGTACTCTTTAAATTTATTCTCCACAACTATTAATATGCAAATCTAACCAATTTACTTCTTTATTTAGAATTCTTTAGCTACTCTTTACTACCTATAGCTGAGTGTTTGTGTGGAAGGGATGAATGCAGAGTTAAAGAGCATCTATACATATAAAAGCCTAAGTGGCTTTCGACCATTCGACCGGTAGTTATGATGCACACTGACCACCAGAGGGCAGATGCTCAACGCAGGAGCTGCCCCCTGGTAGTCAGTGTGCTCCCACTGTGGGAGAGCTGCTCAGCTGACCAATGGGCGCCAGACATCGGGCTTGTGACTGGCGAGCGCAGATGCTCCGGAACGAGCCTCCCCTGTGGACACTCCCCCTGCATGCCAGCATTGGCATTGGGAGAGTGGGAGCGGAACGGCACCTGGCCCGGGCTCCTCCCCACCGCCTGCTGCTTCACGCACTAATACATCCCTCAGGGGGTGCCGGACTGCTGGTTTCAGCCCGATCCCAGGGCCTGCGGGGATCGGGCTGGGCCGAAACCAGCAGACAGACATCCCCCGAGGGGTCCCGGATTGCAAGAGGGCGCAGGCCAGGCTGAGGGACCCCACTGATGCATGAATCCATGCACCGGGCCTCTAGTATAAATATGAGAATGCCTGGAACTCTTCAGCACGTAAAAGAGATAATCTGTTGCATTTCCAAATTTACCTTAATCCGCAATGACCTACCAGCCCAAGTAAGGAGAGTATCCACATAGAGATGAATATATCAGGTTATTAAGCTCAAAACTATTAGTTATCAAGATGATCCTGTCATTATCCTAAGCAATCTGTTTACTTCTACATACTAATATAGAAAGTGTGCACATTAATTATTATTTGATTCACTAATTAGTTTCACCTCTCACTGTTTGGTTTATATGTTTGTGTTTAACACAATACCATCTAAAAAAAAAAGATCATCTGTTTCTGAGAAGCTAAACCTTGGCTGCACAAAATACATCTACAGAAATAATTAGTGTGGTTTTTCTTAACTAAACTGAATATTATGATATAACATGCCCCAGCTGGAGTTGGAGGTTGGATCTACCTTTGGGGGTGTGGGGGAGGCAACCAATGGATATTTCTCTCTATCTCACTCTCTCAGTCTCTCTCTCTCCCTCCCTCCCCCCTGGTTCATAGGTGGAAGTTCAACCACGGCCCCACGCAGTAGAGCCAGGCAGACCTAAGTTTCTGAATAAGACTGAACAATAAGAATAAAATCATAGTTTGACAAGTTTTTTTTAAAGATCTGTCACCTTCCCAACTCTAAACCACTATAAAACAGTGTAGTTTTTTCACAATGCCTAGAAGTTCTATATCACTAACTGTAAAACCTACAATATTATGTTCTAAAGAACTTGTCAGTTTTTAAGTTTATTTCCTTCCACATGTTAATTTTCCCTTCACATTTGATATGGCCTTGGTCATTTGGAAGGTGACATTCAAAGAATTACGTATTATTAACATAGATAAAACAAAATTCCTAGATCATTCAGTTACTTTCATATCCTATTTCAGCTTGGGCCTTTTTCTTGGCAAAAAAGAATATGGATAATGGCATTCTTCATCACAAAAACAACAACAAAAAACCCTGCCTTTTACATTCAGTGTTAACACTGCTTCTTCCAATAACCTACGTTCATTTCCTGATGAGGAAATCAAGCTAATACAGGTCAAACAACAAGTAACCCAAAACCAGGTATTTAAACTTAGAATATACTTGTCAACCAGAATGACACACCATTATTTACACCATGAAATCCTCCCAGAGAGATTAAAAAGGAAGCATTGTAACTCCTATGAACTTTTGGGAAAGTTTGGCTTAAAAATTTTTTATAACAAAACTAAAACAATAATTTTGCATGGGCTCGTACTATTCATTGTATAGTTTCTGGGCTAAAGACATACTAGTTTTAATTAACAATGTAAGATCACTGCTAGCTAGTATAAGGCTTAAGCACCATTAGGTGGTACAACATCGAATACTTATTGTACCTTACTAGTCCCAAGGCATTTGGCCAGAAGAAAGTCTTTTTTATAGTGGTTATTATTAAATGGCTGTGTAACCGCCAACAAAGATATAGCCAAAGGAAGGTCATTCATGAACAAGGTCGTTCTTATTAAAAAAGAACAGTCTGATCTCAGTAACACACCAGCAGATCATCACTGCAGAGTCTCTGATGAGTCTGAAATGTACAAGGAAGGGAGACTGTACTTTCCTAACTCAAAAACGTCCTCCACTATTTCCAAGTTTCCTGCCAGACACTATACTATAATAACAACAAGTAGGCAATGCGTTTGTACCGAAGATTTTCACAACTCCTTCTCTAGCAGCAAATCTCACTGGCTATCAATAATCCCCCAAAATCTAGTTTCAATCTCTTTCAAAAGGTGGCCTCCCCCCCAGTCTGAGCGAACAGTTAAAGAATGACAAGTAAAGAGTGAACTCGATAAACTGGCTTAACCGAGCACATTTGGGACCCAAACACCGTATAATAAAGTAGGCGGGGCTATACCTGCAGTTCACACCAGGCGACCTCCACAGTGGTTTCAGTGTCCAGTCCTTTGTAGACCGTCTTAAAGGAGCCTCTGCCAATTTCTATATCAAACTTGAGAAAGCGGCCGTCGTTGGACATTCCCACGGCCTTGGTCTCCAGCTCTTCGATATCATCCTGTTGCTGGCTCCGTTCCTCTTGCGATTCCTTGGCGCTGCTGCCGCCGCTGCCGCTTCTCGCTGATGGAGGCTCCTCTTTGCTCCCCACATGGTCGGGCTGGGCAATTTGGCGGTCTTTGCTGATACTGCTGGGGGCAGTCGAGGCTGCAGGGCCCGGGGCAGCGGGTTCTCTCGGGGCAGCAACTGCGGCGGGAGGCTGCTGGGCTACCTGGGCAGCGACGGTCGCGGTCAAGGTCTCCTCGCGATGGGGCTCCGGCGGAGTACTCTGTGGAACCACTGCGGCGACGGTGGGCTGAGGGAGAGAAAGCGGGAGGCCGGGCAATTCCAACGCCGTGGCGTTGGAGTCGCAGATGACGCTGCGGCGGAAGAAGCGGTGCTCGGTGGTGGTGGTAGTCGCGGCCGCCCCACGGCTGTCCTTGTCCATAGTGTGGCGGCGACGCCGGTACTCCTCAGTCCTGCCAGTTCCAGCGTCTGTCCCCGCCGCGCCCAGTTTCTCCCCAACAGAGGAATCTGAGCTAGAGCCATTCTTGGGGGTAGGCGCCGGCGGCGAGAGGAACAGGGAGCTCGGAGTGCCGCCCTGCTTCTCCGCGGCGCCTCCGGACATGGTCGGTCCGCTGGAGCGAGGCGAGCCGGGTCGAATTTGTGAATGAAGAGAAGGTGAGGGGCCGACCCGGAGGAGCGGCGCAGGTTGGCAGGTACCGCTACGACGGCTCCGGCTCCCGACGGGTTAGGATCAAACCGGACGACTCCTCGCTTAGCACTGACAAGTCGCCCCGAAGGCGAGGCGGGACACGGGGCCCTGCTGCGACTGCTGCTTCGGCTCACAAGGCGGGCTCGCCGGCGGGCTATCGAGGAGCTGAGCCACTGGGGTTAGCGCCTCGCGATCCGCAGCCATCCTGCGGCAAGCGGCGGCCGGGAAGGCTGTAGCAGCAGAGACGCCGCAGTCATGAGGGGCAAGGCAAAGAGCCGGCACCGAGTGGAAGCGGATGCGGCGGGTGCGGCGACGGCTCCGGCTCCCCGCCGCCGCCGCTGCGCGGACTGGGCGGGCTAGGCCCGGAGGGCGGCGGCAACGCGAGGCAGGGACTAGCACGGACTCCCGAGCGGTGGCAGCTCCAGGGCCAAAGAGAGTGGGAGGGGCCGAGGAAGGCGAGGGAGGGCCGGGCCCGGGGGCTCCCGGACAGTCAGTCGGTCGCCGCCTCACAAACGCGCCCCCAGCGAGGGGGACCAGTCTCACAAGGCGTCCATCGCCCGGACTGAAGGGTCGAAGCCTCGGTGCCTGAGAAGCGGGCCCCCCCTTCCCCGAGGCCTCCCCGCCCGCCCCGGGCCTGGCAAACCCCCGTCTCCTCCCGGGCCGGTGCCGGGGGGCTGACGGAGGGAGGGAACGGTGGGGAGGGGAGGGCCGCTCGCCGCGGGGCCCGAGCTCCGCTGCTTCTCTGGGCCAAGAGCAGAGGAGACCGAAAGGACTGGGTGAAGGGGGACAGGGAGAGAAAAGAGTAGTAACCCCAACAGGCACCTTCTGTCACCGAAGACTGGAGTGCAGAGTGGTCGAGTGTGAAGAGGCGCGTCCCACAGAGAAACTCGCCGCGCTAAATGGCGCCGGGAGTCTGAAGGCTCCACACAGCCCGCTCGAACCCCGCCCCCCACCGCCCGGGGCAGCCCCACCCCCACCTCTCTCAGGACTCTCGCGCAGGCGTGCCAGTACCGAGGCTCCTGGGACTTGTAGTTTACTCGCTTAAGGAATGAAAGGGGCTCAGGCGGAAGGAGCCTACGACTTCCGTGATGCCCTGCGGCAGTTTTAATTTGATGCCTCATGGGAATTGTGGTTTTCTTTTGGAAACCGCCCCTTCTGGAAGGCTGATGGGAGCGTCACCGTGAGTCGCTAAACCCCATCCTTAAAATCAGCGCTAGCTGGGAAAATCATTATTTGGGGGTTAATTGTGGAAGAAGGGAAGGAAGGAAAAAAAAAAAAAAAGAAGGGAAGAAAGAAGAAAAAAGAAAAGGGAGGCAAGCGAGAGAAGAGATTCCCATCAATGTTCTGCTGAAGCTTGAGAAAACTCTTAGGGTTGCCATGCAAAGAAAAATGATCTGTTGTTCATCTTTAATGGAAAAAGCTGCTGAAGTGTTGAGTGACTGTAGGGCTGTTAGGGTGGAGGGGAAAGGCAAAGCAGGAGAACCAGAGCCTAGGCTCAGCCAGAAGAGCTAACAACTCCGGAGGGCAAAAGAAACTTTGTGGATTGCGCATGAGATTAATATTGATTAAATGGGTTGGGGAAGAAAACAGGGAGAATTATCTTCTATCCTCCTCCCTTCCATAGCAATCAAGATAAGTTGTGGGCATTCTCAGCTCCAGCTCCAATACATTCTGGCTCTCAAAGATGGGCTACCCTACTGAAATCAAGGATCATAGTGAACTCTTTGCCAGAATAAAATAAAATAAATGGTGCGGGGAGGGAGGGGGTGGAACTTTGCTTCTTTTACCCAAATTTGAGAGAGCTGAGTTGACTTCTGTGTAGTTGGTTGAAACAATTTCCATCTTTCCTTTGGTGGCTTAGTAAAACAACATCCCCTCTTTCTCTAGGGGTGTATGAAAGTACACATGTAATGTATGGCTTTGGACATAGAGGAAATTTGGATCCACACAGTTCACAGTAATGGAAAGTATCCTTGGGCTCCCTGGACCCCTTTGCTTCTCACAACTACTCAGGATTATACAGGTGATGAGCACTAGGGGGCACCAGACAGAGTTGGAAGCCAGGGTGGGGAGCCAGATGGCAGTTAAAAATGTCTAAGCCCGACGGGGTAAGAGCGGGAAGGGAAATGTATGCAAGGGCATCAGAGCGTCAACACACTCCTGCCTCTCCTCAGCGCCCACTGTGGAACGAGCTCAGAAGCGCGCAGTCTAGCGGAGGACCACGCTAAGACTACGAGTAGTTTAGAAGCAAGTTGACAGAAGATTCGTTGGTTAACACTAGTTTCCTAGGAAACGCCCACAACTTACCTGGATGAGCTCCACTTAGAGCAGTTTGCTATATAATTCATATTAATTTACCTGTTAAGTAAAATAGTTATACACGTTTACAGCTTTTCTTTATCAAAAGCTACACTTTCAGACATACAAAAAAGTTTGTTTTAAAACCAATGGTTGTTAGGTTTCATGAAGCTAGCAGATTATGAACATTTTAAAATACAAATTCAGTAGGGACAACTCGAGTACTAAAATAGTAGCGTTCCATTTTTTAGAAAATATATCGTTAACTTGTTTGCTATGATAATGATAAATCTCATTATGGTATATGTAATTAGTGGTTTGTCTCCAATCCTAAATTTTAATGTAAAGCAGGGGGAAAAAATGACTTTAAAGTACATTTTTATTATACATCTTGAGGCAGATTCTTAGAACTTGCTTAGTTGTTGCTTTACTAGGAAAAATAGTCTGATTTTAAACATAATCCAACTAATTATAAATTGGTGATTATGTTCAAATGTTGGCACCACAAAAAAATGATGCTATTTCTGTGTGAATGGTCATTTAAAAACTTTATTATTACCCATTCCTGTTTACTCTGCATTGAAACTTTGGCCACAATGCATTGGACACACGTCCCTTGACAATCACCATGTCCTATCAACACGTTATTTCAACCAAGAACAATTAAATATACTGTAAATAATTAACTTGATTTAAAGCCCTACTTGCCCACATGACAGACTTTCCTATTTGTGCAACATTAGCTTTACTATGAAAACAGGTACAACTTTAAATTGAGTATAACTATATTATATACAATGGTTAGATTTAAAGGTTAAAATGTTTAGTGTGATTATTTTACTACAGACATGTTTTTAATGCTTACCAACTTTCAATTAACATATTTTCTATAACTCATTAATATATCCCTAATAGTATTTTTCTTTTCTCTGTCATTTCAATTATCGAGTAGAGAACAGATCCCTCTGTAATCTACATAAAACACCTATCCTATCTAATAAAAGAGAAACATGGTAATTAGCCGTACATCCGCTACCCTTCCCATTGGCTAATCAGGGCGATATGCAAATTAACTGCCAGCCAAGATGGCGGCCGGCAGCCATGCACTGAAGTGAACAGGGAGGCTTGCTTGCTCCAGTGACGGCGGACTCCAACGTTCCCCGCCTCACTTGCTGGCCTCTCAGCTGCAACTCTAAGCAACTATGTTGCAAATATAAAAGCTAAACAAAACCCCAGAAACCTGCTTTAGTCAGCCGGGCTTCAGCCAGCCGGACCGCAACATTGTATCAAATACAGAAGGTAAACAAAGGCCAGAAACCTGCTTTCAGCAGCCGAGGCCTCAGAGCTAAAGCTGGCCCAGAATAAAAAAAAAGAAAGAAAGAAAGGAGTGGTTGGGAGCTTCAGTCACCCGCCAGCCTGAAAACGGCCCTCAGCCCCTCAGCCAGACTGGCCAGGCACCCCAGTGGGGACCCCTACCCTGATCCAGGACACCCTTCAGGGCAAACCAGCCAGCCCCCACCCGTGCACCAGGCCTCTATTCTATATAGTAAAAGGGTAATATGCCTCCCGGCACCAGGATCAGCGTGACAGGGGGCAGCGCCCAAACCCCCTGATTGCCCTGCGGCTCTGTGTGTGACAGGGGGCGGGGCCACAACCTCCCTATCTGCCCTGCTCTGTTCCTGACAGGGGAAGGTGCCCAAACCCCCTGATCGCCCTGCAGCTCTGTGTGTGATGGGGGGAGCTCCCCAACCCCCTGATCGCCCTGCGGCTCTGTGTGTGACAGGGTGCAGCACCCCAACCCCCTGATCGGCCCTGCTCTGTGGGTGATAGAAGGCAGCGCCCCAAACCCCCCCCCCACGGGCCCTGCTCTGTGTGTGACGGGGTAGAGCCATAACCTCCCCATCGGCCCTGCCCTGAGTGTGACAGTGGCGGCGCCCCAACCCCCTGATCCGCCCTGCTCTGTGTGTGACAGGGGGCGGTGCCCCAACTCCTGTATCAGCCCTACTCTGTGAGTGACAGGGGGGAGCTCCCCAACCCCCTGATGGGCCCTGCTCTGTGCGTGACAGGGGGGAGCTCCTCTACCCCCTGATCAGCCCTGCTCTGTGCGTGACAGGGTACGGAGCCCCAACCCCCCTGATGGGTCCTGCTCTGTGAGTGACAGGGGGCAGCGCCCCAACCCCCT